GCGGAGGCCGTCGTCGGGAGCCCAAGCGCCACGGAGGGGGTCCGGAAGCAGGAGGAAGAGGCCTGGGAATAATCCTGCTGCAACCAGACCGACAGACAGGACCGCAAGACAGGATACGGCGTCCGCTGCGCTCTCGGAGGAACAGGCAGGGACATTTTTCAGCCGAAATTCTGCCCATCCCTCCCCCTCCAGCCTTCACCTGTCTCGACGGCATTGCTGTTGAGGAACAAATCCAGGAAAACCAAACCAAGCGCCGCCCCCACCTTACTGCTTCTACCCCCCCTTCGCAGGATACTCCAGTTCCTTCGTGTCCCCGCAGCCAGCTACTAGGGAGGATTAAACAAAATGCATTTGACAGCAAACCTTAAAGCGAGATCCAGACCCAGGACATTACATCTTTCATCTGAGCAATGCCACAATATCTTAATTATTTAAATCTCAACGCAAAGGCAAATGCATTAACCCAAAAAGAAAAAAAAATCACATTTAAAGCATTTATTTTGAAAAATAAAATACAAAAGATCATTAAACTGTAATTATACATGTAATTTATCAACATCTCTTTTTTTTAAATAAAAGATACTTAACAATTTCCACATGTCAATAAAACAGACAACTGTTCCACCAGAAATCCTTAGGACAAGCACAGACCACTTCTGAAAGATTCATACATTTAAAACCCAACTGTTACAGGAAAAATAAAACCACCTTAAAGACTGAAGTTTGGAATTTAGATAGACAGACGAGCAATTTGAGACAGCTGTTGCTTTGCATTTTTTAAAAACCCTAAAATAGTTGTGTTAGTGTAATACAGTACTACATTAACATCAATGTAGGTACCGCCCCCCTTTTTAAACTTGTTTACATGCTTTCACAATAACAAAATCTTGAACAAAAAAGACACAGTATCAAAGAAACTGGGGCGAAAATTCTGGAAAAAAAAAACCAAAACACGAAAAGGCAGGCCAAGAGCAGTTACTGATCTCTGTAGGACAGTTCGTATAGCATCATTTCTATTGAAAAAGGCAGCAGTCTTTCTAGAGAAAGAGAAAAATAAAGTTACATTTGTGCTTTCTTTTTAAGCTTTTATAACATTATAGAATTACAAATAGCAATGCATCATGGTATCTCAGTAGGTGCAAAGTCATTCTCAGGACTAACTACAATGCCAAAAAGACCTTTCCTCTAAGGAAAGTGGGTACCTTCTACAGGGTTTATCATTAGGCTTACTCCTAAAGGTCAACTTACATGTGAAAAAAAAAAATCTGGATTTCCATTTATATTAAAAATACTTGTAAAAGTGGGCTGCATTTACACGCTAAAAGTGTCTCTCATTACAGTGTACCTGTTGTGGTTACTGCCAGGAAGTTAACATTGTCATTTTGCTACCTCAGAACTTGAATAGCAGCATTACATAGAAATATTTTCCAGTTTATTCAAGGAAATAACAGGCATCATGAAATAGGTTTTAGTCATTTTAACACTGACTACATGAAGAGATTATGGTTTCCCTATTTCTGAATTAGGTCAAAAAATAATCTTTGGAATACTTTCATACCCAGCAGAAATAATGATATGGTGCTTTTGGCTATATTTATGGCTATATGTATAGAACTCTATGTCTAGAGAGATGTATTTTGGCTATATTTCTATGGCATGTTGCTTTTGGCTGTATTTAAATTGGACGCATTTTGCATCTTTTGTTGTGAACCTAGGACATTTGATAGAACGGCTGACAAGTCAAAACATGGACTAGTACAGTAGTTCTTATACCACTTGTTAAGTTAGTCCAGGATTTACTGAATTCAATCCACGGTCTTGCCATTGTTAATTCAACAACTAAAATACAGTTGTATTGAAAATAGCAGCTATGGTACACACAAAAAGCAAGTGATACACATCAGTTCGTCTTCAGCCATTTCCTCTTTCTCAAAAGTAGGACCGATTTATAATCGAAAGAAAACATTAAAGTCTTAGTATGTTGGCTGAATGCCTGGCTGAACAGTAGAATAGTTATGTACTCCTTTCAATTTCAGGCTCTAATAGCATTGACAATCAAATACTACAGACAATACTGCAAATTTGAGATGTGCCATTTAGAACTGTACAGTAATTCTAAAATGATATATAACCTATGCTTTCGTAGCTCGAAACACTATAGCTTACCTCAATGTGGTTTTTACAGATTCTGAATCAAGATCTGTGTCGTCATGTTTTTCTTACCCAGAATCTTGCATGAAGTTATATAAGTTTAAAATGAGAAATGGAGCAACTATCACCTTCACTAAATTAAGAAGAGCAATTCGGCAGGACTGCATGCTCTCTTTTATTACCTTCTGTGCAAGAAATATCCACTGTATCTTCTATTCCATAGGTTCAGTCTGTTAAGTAAATAGTTAAATTGAAATTAGCCATTTTTACGTTAAAGATATCATTATCAGCACCAACATTAGCACTCAAAGCCATTTAGTTGATTGGTTGTGTTAGGTTACTTTTAATCTGTAATACTGAAGCAGACCAGTTAAATAGAAGCAATTTCAACTCCAACTTCAGTATTTATCGTGTCAGAAACATTCTGTTACCATTGCAAAGCCTATTTTTGCTTTTTAGAAGATCTTGGATAGATCTGCTCAGAGTTAACTTAGTATGATTACAAGTATTCACCTAATTGTATAAATCCTGCTCCTCTTACATTTAGAGGAGTCCCATTTCGAAACCTACCCATCATATGGATTGCAAGAGGACATTTGTTAGAAAATGGACCAAAATCCTTTGACATATCGCAAGGTAATCACAAAATACAAACATTATAACTCAACTAACAGCTATTTCACATAGATCAAGGATCATTTAGTTTCTAGAACACTATCTATACACAAAGCGCTAGGCTTTCAAGACAGCTCATCTCCCTGCATGTTCCAGAAATCCTAATCAGCAATATTTAACTTTGTGTTCTGACACAGCCTATATTTGCAGCCACATACGCGGCAAAATTAACTGTTATGTTGTAGATGCTCTTGAAATAACCACAATAACTGCATTTGAAAGCATTATGAAATAACTGCAGCACACCTTCTCAATACAATTTGCTAACGAAAACTTTTAAGCAGCACACATTTAAATAGTTTTCTTGCCTTTAAGCTGCATAGGCATTTTGGCCAGCACTCCAGAGTGAACAATACTGTGAGCAACAGCACGTTTAGCTGCGTGGTGTCAGGTTCTTAATGGTTTTCTATTAGCTGAGCACAACTTGCAAAGCATGAGTACTAACCGTGTGAAGGGCGAGAGCAGGCAAACAATCAGAAAAAGAGCAAAGCCCACATTAGAGAAAACACAAAGATTTATCAGAAAGATTTGGTGTCCACAGCAAAAAGCTATGCTCTGAAAACATGAGACAGACACTAGAGCTAGTCTACATTACTGATCCATGTTCATTTTATCTTGCCACGGGACTTCCTTTCTACTGTCTTCTTTGGCTGGAACAGAAGAAACCAGTTTTCCTTTTTAATAACTAATTTTCATTAGAATGGATGGAATAAGTCAAAAACATTTGTTTGCATATGGTAGATTCTGCTGTGTTTCCTTGAATGTCTACATCTAACAAAAGTCACACTCAGAGAGTCTTTCTTTAATATTGGAGATCCAAAATTAAGAACACTGTGCCTGTTGGGTTTTTTTATTTTTTTCATTTTAAGGGAAGATGCTGCAAATGATTTAATACTTGATATGCTACTTATATTTATATTCAAAATAAACTTCTGTACTGTGCAAGTAGCATTAATGATGGGAAATAAAGTAGAAATAAGTAAGACAAACACCCTAAATAACTTGGCCGCTTCTAGCTGTTTTATAAGATTTTCAGAAACCTGGATGGAAGCATGTGATCTTTTCCTCTTTTGCCTAAAGTACTGGCATGTTTGGCCACAGTTAACGCTGTAAGTTACCACTTCGGTGTACTCCTTTGCCCACTAATTCGTTTGCAAACTGCACTAAAGTAGCCTCCCCTAAATAGCGTTATCCTGCACTGACACTGGTCAAAATGAAGCCTGGCCAGTAGGGAGATACCCCCTCCTACCCAAAAGGACGAGCTACCAAACAGAACAAAACATGAACAAAGAATGGTGATGGCCTCCAGCCCTTGAAAAAAGAAATAAAGCTTCCTACTGCTTTTTAGGCAGCTGAAGGAAGCTCTACAATTGAAGTTTTTCCAAAGCATAAAATAACAGCAACAAAAAAAATCTAACATGGGTAACTAAAGGCTTGGCCACCCATAGCTTCTATTAAAGCTAATGGGAGAGGAAGGTGCTCCTTGTTCTTCTAGTTGCAGAGATAATACATCCTGGATACAGAGGACCCCCAAAATGCTTCTCCTCCCAACTCAACAGTGCTTTATGTAGGACAAACTGGAGGAAAAAAAAAATATATATATATGTTTTTAAACTTAGCTTTACTTGAACACACCCTGAGACAGTAACAGCGATGAGCCATTCCCTGCCTCTATCAAAGCAGAACACAGAAGACAACATTTACACATTTAGCAGCTATACAGCCTGCAAAGGTCTATGTTTCTATGAGCCTAGTCGTGTTTTCTCAGGGAAGAGCTACTCAAGAGCAATTACTACATGCTTCACTTACTCATCTAAAACATTATTTAACCAATAAAGTAAATTCCTCAAGATGATTTTTCTCAGCTAGACTAGCAGAGCAACATACATTCACTTTAAGCTTAAATCTGCAAAGTCAGTATGGAGAACTAATTTCACTATTAGTGAAAGACTATTAAGACGGACACACACAAAAAGCCCCTGGAAGTTCCATGGGGCAAGTCCATCCTGTCTGCTCCACTACATTCAGGAGAGGCACAGAAAGAGCCGCTCATGCAGCACAAGATGCCCTCATCTAGATGGAACTACTGTATCCATAAATCAGTAAGTGGTTATGGCCCAAACCCTTTCCACTGTGTCTACGTGAGAAGAGGGCCTAGGCCTGGAAGCACGCCTCCTATGCGTTCACAAAGCTCGGGGGCCAAGAGATGCTACAATTTAAGAGAACAGTTCCAGCCTGGAATTTTGCTTTTTCTACCCCTATTGCAAAGGTGAGGTCCCCTAGGTACCTGATGAAAATTAATAGCATTCAAAGGGTACCAAAGTACAGATTCTCATTACAATCTGAAGTTTAATAGCTCACTTGATTATTAAACCAACACAGGATCACTATCCATGGCTGACATGTTTTGTTTTGCCAGATACAGAAGTATTTCTTTCCAAAAACCTGTCATTATCTTTGGTCAAAGTCTGAACATTTATACCATCTGTAATATACTTGCTTTAAGCCTTTCAGTACAAGGTAACAAAAGATAAAGCTTCTCTACAAACAACATACAAGCTTCGCAATTGGGTCTACATAGCAAAATACAAAATCAAACTTTCTTCGCGCTTCACAGCATAGTCTGACGTAGCCTTCAACCAGCTTGGGTTTAGGGGCACCTTACTTCTAATGCTAAAGTTGCACATAAATCCAAAGCCTCTTTTGAGTTTTTGAGTGTAAAAGCAACAGTGGTGGAGATTTAATTTCATGGCAAACTGTTGGTCACTTATTCTCTTATAATCAAACAGAAAATGAAATTTATGAAGTGGTTTATTATATCGCTGCTACATCTGCAAAAAGGAAACTAATCCAATACCGTACCTGTGGCACTTCTTTAAGAAAGTCAGGAAGTTGAAATTCACCTTTATAGACCTGGAAAAAAAACAAACCAAAGCAAAAGTTTACTATTCAAGACAAGCATTCACTAGTGTTTGAAAAACTAAAGAGCCTATTAAGCAAAAAATGGATTAGTTTGGGCTATTAGTGTCCAGTAATGCTAAATCAGATCTACCTGGGAGTTTTCTAAATTGCACACAACCCATTTGTAAAAGCAAAGTTTTATTCACAAGGTCTAGTAGAGTCTGAAGTAGTTCTACAGCTTTATCCTCATTCCCAGGCTTGCTCTTTACTCAAGACAGATGGCAACGTTTGGAAAGAGCATTTAATAGCATTTCAGTGCAAACGAGGTCAGAATAAAACTATATAACTTGTATTACATTTCAAGCTTGCTCAAGTTACGAATGATTCATGAATTAAGTCCTGTGTAATTAATTCACTATACTTAAAAAGTTTTACAGCATGATTAAATACACTAGAATAGAGTTATAATAATACACACTAAGTTACATATAAAATATAAAGCAACAGGTTTAACATCAATAAATTAAATTTTCTTAGGGCTCTATTACAGTTTTTAAATTAAGAGTGTCTTCATTTAAAGTTTACCAAAAGCGCTACCTGTCATGATCTCAGACTGTGTCAGAATACATCAGCCAGTCAAACAACTTGCAGTTCACAACCATTTGTCTTACATTTTACAGACTTAACATACGTCACATAATACAATGTTTTCTGATGCCTCCTATTTGCCACATACAAAATATGTATCATTTATGCAAACAGAAGTATTATACTTTGACAATTGATCCTACCTTACTATGTTGTCATACTTGTTAGCTTTGATAACAGTTTATGCAGGTGACAAAACTACAAAGAGTCTGAAAAAACCTAATAGCTTTAGGTTTAAATTCTGTTAAGATAACCAATGCTAAAGCAGTGTCAGCATCTCTTTCTATCCCTAGAGCTTATTTACTTACCTGAAAACTACACCAACTAGGTAACAGGAAAGTTTATACATTTGCTTTAACACAAAGTCACACAGATGTCACTGGAATAGGTGCAGAGCACTACTAGCTATTTCCTGAAGTCCTCTGCCAGGCCTTGAGTTGCTCAGAGGAAGACATACTGGGTCAGATAAGGCACTGAACTTCTCCCCTCACAGGCTGTGATCACGCTTAAAACCTCCAGCTCCTGGGGGGAGAACATGGGGCAGATGAAGTGCAAGTCGTCTTTATTGTTTTCATAACCCTTGGTCATTAATTTGCTTTTCATTTACAGAAACGAGAAGAGACACTGGGATACTAGTTTCCTGATGTAGGCATCAGTAGGCACACGGTTTAATAGCTTCATGTATTAGTATAGAAGAGGTCTGTAGGAATATGGAAATACCACACTGGACATGGATAGTAAAAAGCTTCAAGTAATCTTTCCTACTTTGGCAAAGCAGGTACTATCCTCTTCTAGCAGGTCTCAAAGTTACAGTCAGCAACTCTAACGAGTATGAATTTCTACATCTGTAGTCTCATTACCAGCCTTATGTCATGAAAGGTTGTCATTACCATGCCTTCCAATCTTTTGGAGTATAGCGTTACTTTCGAAACAAACACTGTTTGGAGAAAGAGCAAGCAATAAATATTCTCAGACATAGCAAGAGCCACACCAAACAAGCGTTTCTACTATCTGGCCAATTAGGAAATAAGTTGGCAATGTAGTGTCTTCTCTCTAGAGGATACTCTTAAAAAGCTGTTTGCTTCTGACATGAAACTGGAATGCATTCCAATGACAAAATTGTATTCCACATGACTGATTTCTTCTTTTTTTTGGCAAAGTAGACTAGAAAGTTTTGCCATCCTCTCTACTGAAACAAAGACCAAACATCTTAATGTCATGGACTGTGTGCTGTCTTGCCTAGCCATAATCATATAGAACCAAAGAACACAAACCTAGATAGAAAAAACCCAATAAAGTCATAACATGGAAATGGAGCTCCTCTAAATCCTCAATCAGTTACAATCTCTGGTTTGCAAATGACGTCAAAGGAAGAAGATTCAGGAAGTTAAGGGATACTTCTTATCATCATACATTTTCTCGGCCTTCCTATGAATAAAGCATTGGAATATAAAGTATCCATTTTGTCAATATAGTGCAGCGGCCTGCCAGTGCGACTGAGTCTGCCAGGAATATCTTGTCTGTGCAACACCTCACCCCAGGGCAGGCCTGCAGCATTAAACCATATGACTCATGTTGAACAGACTAAGACACTGGCAGCTCTCCTTAGTCTTTATCACCAGGCTAAACGTATCCAAACAATAAGGCTTTACTGAAACACAACACAAGAGTAAGAACTATTATACACACATTGCGGAACGCTATTTATTTTGATATTTCATGTTATTAGTTAAAAGAGAAAAACAATAGGCACAGCTCTCATTTACGCTCAGCAAGGGGGCACTGTCATTCCCATGGTAACCTTAATGAAAGTCACACTGGTCAAAAATTCAGTGAGAGGTTTATTCGATCCTGGATGTACTATAAATACTTATAAATGAAGGAGAGTTATTTCATATTTTCAGCTTTTAACCAAGCCATTAAAATGCAGACCGTTTCTAGAGAGCAGATATGAGTTGCATATCAACAGCATCACTCCATTGAAAACGCTATAGCACAACCTAAGCAAGATTCCCGGGAGCAAGGAGGAACCACACACATCACCAACCAGCATGTTTTATTAGATTAGTACTGATATTGGAAGAAATAGACAGGCTTCTTCAGGTTTTCTTGGTAAATCACTGTAACCCTTTTTGGGGCATTTTTAAAGACAGTAATTTTTATGACCTTGCTACTTTGTAACTGGTCCATAACCAAAGTGATCAAAACCAGCTTTGTCTCTCTGGAAGCCTGTTTCTCCATCCTTCTCCTGCAATTACGATTTGATCTAATTTTTATAGTATACTTCACATATATTTCTCTGCTCTAAAAACCCTAGAATTGTAATGCCCTTTGTAGCAACAGCATTTACTCCTAATAACCATTAGTACTGGATAGTCAAGGATATTCATTCATCAGTAACATTTAAAAAAGGAGAAAAAAACCCAAACTAACATCATATCCAAAAAAAAAAGAAAATGCCTCAGGGCATAAAATATTACATTCACATTGAAATTCATTCTACAGAAAAAAAAGAAGAGAGATCCATGCAAGTTATTAGTTCATAAAAAACAATGTACAGGCTTAATCCAGCCAGAGTTCAAAGATAAATATAGTTAAAGTGTTAATTTTTCATGTTAGCAAGGTAATCAAATCAAGTGTTTCTGAAATGCTTAAATGCTGATACCATGTCCATACCCAACTGAACCTACTCATTGGCTCACTTAAGCCAATTCAAATACTGAGTAACTGATTATGAACAAAAGCCTACCTATATAAAATTAGTAACACTGCCATGAGCATTTAAGCCTGTCTAAAGTTCTCCCTCTCTGATATATTTCAGAAAACTTTATATGGCTGATTGAGTAGTCCCAACCCACATGCATGACCTGCAATAACTTCAGAAGACTTATTCTCATAGAAAGAAAGTAGTACAGGCAATTGTTCATCTTTTACAAACACCTGGTTATTTGCATCATTAACAACTCTTGCAATTTCAGCTACAGTGTATCTTTAAGCCACAGAAATATTTGCTGTATTTTAAAACATCTTCTAGAAAACACTGAAATCTTTAGGGGGAGAAATAACCACCTCAGAGCAGGAAAATTACACAGTAGTAATTTTGCTTTGCACAGTAATGAAAAGCGTATGTTCCTCATTATATATCCACAGTTCAACATTTGACATCACAGCCTCTCTCCTCTTCTACGTCTGATGACAACTCAGACGGCTCATTTTCATTTCACTACTTAATTTTTAAACCTGTGTGATGCAAAGTTTAAGTTTTACTCTGTTTAATAACTGGCTTTTGAGCTTAAATGCAATTGTTCTGGACAGCTCAGAACTCTAATAATTTAGTAATATATTAGAGTTATTTACTCTTGCTGCACCTTTCTGACTGAATTATAAAGTTACAGAATTAGTATAACAAAATATTTGTATATACAGCTTATACATATATAAGTATATATTTAAAATTAAGCCACACCACAATTTACAAAGGCACAATCTAACCAATGATTGGCCAGAGAGGCTGCATTTAGATTAGGTTTAAAAAGCAGTCATGCATAATTCTGGTTGAAAGCTAACATTAGCTAGAATAATGGTTTTGTCAAGATTAGGACTGCACACAAACTAGTTTAAAGTAGTTCCAAAAACGGTAAGGGGTCTCTCTTGACTCAAAGGCCAGGGATCTGCTACAACCCAAAGATTCAAAAACAAAAACAATGCCTCCATCTGCAGCCAAAGAAGTTAAGAGGTTTCAGATTCAAAATTCTTTTCTGAACCATTTCTAAGTCTAAAACACGTTATTTGGTGAGTGGCAGTAGAGAGGCAAAAGGAAGATACTGGAATGATTTCCGGTCTAGGCAAGAATTTAGGGAAACTGAGCAGAAATTGTGTTTATCATCGCTAGGAGAATTATTTTGCAAGACCAAATGGATTTCCAAAGGAAAAGAAAAATATATAAGATCTTAAGTAGCCTGTGTAGTTTTGTTATTCAGAGTTGGTGCTATTCAAGCTGTTTAAAAAGTTCTTAAACTAAATGCATGTTTTTTCTCAAAAGGAATCAGAAAAAAGTTTCACATCCAGCTATCTGACAAAAATCCTTACGAACACATAAAGAAAATTTAATCATAAAAAGTGTAATTCTAATAAGTGCAACCTATAATTCATCTCTGCAGAAGATGAAAGCACTCATTTTCAGCCACTTTCAAGCTCTTTTTTTTTTTAAAAAGGTCACGTTATATTTGGTTAGATCCAGTACAATAAGATAATGGGTCTTTCTGTCTAGAATTTGGCCTGCAAATAAGTGTACTTGCGCTCATTAGATTTTCAAAACATCAAAGATCCAGATTACAAAGCTGTCAATGCTTATTTGCCAATAT